GGGGCTTAGGGGGACCCTGAGGGGGTCGTGAGAAGCCCTGGAGTGGCTGAGATAAGCCCTGACGGGGCTTCCTTGCGTAGAGCGCCGGGAATGAGCGGTCATTGATCGGCGGTGGGACTTGTCTATTTGGACGAGGACGAGGAGTGCACGGGCAACCTCTGTAGCTTGCCGGGTGGCCTGTTTGCTGGCACAGGACGCACGAGGGTGGGGATACGGCATCTTTGGGCCGGGGACACTCTTTAGTGTTGTGGGGGTCGAGGCACTTAACACACCTGGGTGGGGCGGAGCAATAACCGCCGCATGACCATAAAGCTGGCAGCGGTGGCACTGCGCCGGGAAACCGCGCCTATGCGGTGGCTCAACATGCACTCCCGACAAGCCGCACACAGTGCGTATTTGCCGGAAGATTGTTTTCGCCTCCGGAACGTTTTTTAAAATGACTAGCACTAGCGGGTATCTCAACCCGGTTCTGCTGTGCAATTTATGCACAGCCTCAACGGGGAATCCTTGTGACTTAAGGTCCTCAAGGATCTCCTCGTTGGAGAGTTCGAACGGGACGCCTCGGACGACGGCCCTCACTTTACGCTCTTCCAGAAGAGCCTAAGTGTGGTAGGACACACGTTCATTAGTAAAAAGCCTTGTAAGGCGGCGAAAATCGTCTATGGATTGAGGGACTATTTTGATTGCTACGCCCATGTTGGTAGCTTGATCATACTTGATTCCTGGATCATAGCAGATCTTACTGAGGTGAGTAAATTCGGACTTGTCTCTTAAAAAGACAGGGGGCGGGATTTGCTTCTTCGCAAGAACGGGAGCGCAGTGAGAGGCTGACTTCGAAGGCGCTGGGATTTCTAGCGACATAAGGGGGGCCGGGGCAGCGGCGGGGGTTGCGGGGGAAGAGGCGGCAGCGGCGGAGGCTGCGGGGGTGGGGGGAGCAACAAGGGCCGCTGAGGTGGGGGGAGTGCGGTTTTTCGCGGCGCATTTTACGCCGCGCTTGGATGTAACCGTTGTGGAAGGTGAATCACCGGAACCGTCGGAGTCGGAGGACTCCGATGTCCTGGTGCCAGACTTAGTGGCGGGCCTCTTCCGGGAGGCCGATACGGAGAAACCGGAGAATCGGAGTACGAGCACTCCATATCTAGTTCGAGAGAGGCGAATGAGTTTCGGGACTCTAGGTGGGCCGCTATAACGGGCGGCGGTTGACTTGCCTGAAGGACGGGAGTAACCAAAATGGCCAGGGCTGCGGCGAGAGCCTGCGGGTCGTCCATCCTAATGATGGCGTCTAAGAGGGAACCTTTTAAATCCTGGGTGGACATTTTCGGAGACGGAGATGTGACGTTTTACTCTAAGCGGGGGCGGGGGTCACCGTTCGCAAAAGAATGGGACGTTCTTATCTAAGACAGTAAGGAGGGGCTCACCACTCTCAAAAGAACGGGACGTTCTTAACTAAGATAGTACTGACCCCTGTTCTCAAAAGAACAGGGTCTTGCTCTGAAAAGAGCAAGTACGTATTTTAAGAAACACAATAATAACACAAATATAAGAATTAACTATATATTAAACAAATAGTTAATAAAATAAACTAAATAAACTTATAAACTAGTCTACGATATTATAAGTGGTCAGTCAAACCTCCCCGACCAGAGACGGGGGGATGAGAGCTGAGAATTAGCAGAAAACACTTACCGAACTTCAGCGCTATTGAGCGCGAACAGAATAACGAGAAGCGCGGTACGCGGAAAGAGCACTAACGTAGGGACATTAGCGCGCGCGGACAAACTGAACACACGTCACTCGGAAGCAACGGCGCAGGCGGAATCATCATGCTGCCCACTTAACTATTTCCATCTTCCCATAAATAGTAAAACTACTCGCATCGTTCCATATCGATGTTGTAATTTAGTTTAGCTACCTTGACGATAGATGGCTGCCTGTTCACAAAAAGATTATCAAAACTAAAAATAATATTTTGGCGATAAAAATTCTTTAGGACTGAATGCAAAACAAATTTTAGCACCTTCGTATGATTCGTTTACCAGTACTGAGCTCTACGTACCTTATATATTTTTAGTTCCCATGACACAAAGTGTTTCCATCTAGTGTCGAATATATTTAATTATATTTGAAAGCCGACATAGAGATTTTCTAGAACTATTTTAATAAATTAGGTATAAAATTACTAAAAAATGAAATGTGATGCGATCCAGAGCATTAGAGCGTTTATCTGAGTAGCTTTTACACGATAAAACACAACACTTCAGCCTTTTCTTCTTAATACTACGAAAATACATTGATTTGCGATTTTCGACACATAAGTGCACAGGACGAACTCTGACAAAATACTAACGTTAAAGCCACGCCCACTGTAATGACGTCAGGACCTAGTTAGAATCACAGTGCACAGTTACTGAGGCCGTCTCCTCTTTGTAATTTCTCCATGGTAAAAATTGACCCCTCCGGACCCCTACTTGTAAAAATATTAACAACACAATATACTTATTTTGCGTTATGTCGCTATTGCAATTTAAAATATGTAATCTTTAGTAATATTGTTCAGCAATGTGACATTATTGTTGAAAAATATACGCGCGTTTTTTCATTATTTTCTTTATTAAACGATAATTTATTAATTGAACTGACTGAAGACTACATATAACATTAAGAATTACGTCGTTCTTACTGAAAAATGTCTTAAACTAAGAGTATTATTTTAGGTTATTTTATTATTGCAATGAACACTGGGTGTGTTCTTGAAGTTTATTTAAAAATCTCAAATTCATTTCCTCATTTAAGGCGTTCCGAGGGTGACTATTAGTTGACCTTGTTAACAATTGTGACGATAATCGTAAATACAATGAAATATATTGAGTCACCATTCGACGCCGGCTGACTTCGCATGGCTTTTTATTTTTCACGTGAACACAGTAAATTTAAAAGATAAATTTATTATTTGGTTTTAAAGTTCATTAAATACGTAAATTATTTTTAAAATACATAAAATTCAAAGTTTAAAACTAGTCCCCCGTAAAATATTCTTGCAAATAGTCTTGCAATAAGTGAGCGTCATAATAATTATGAAAAATTGCATTGTATATGTATTTGACAGTTCGTTAAAGCTCCTAGGGGTTAATTCTTCAAATCAAGATATTAAAAGCTGAAATTATCACATACAAGTACATATAGTTTTACGTAGTAAAACATATATTTAAAACTAATTCAAAATGCGTAATAACGCATACTTTTAACTGATTTTACTGCGCACGCACACATTTATTGTAAGGGTCGATCGGTAGGCAAAACGTTATTGCTCATAAATCGCATTCAATTTGGGTTAATTTAAAATAAAAGTAGAAGCCTTATTTATTATTATTTTCAAATATCGCAATAAAGGTATATCATTATTTATATATTTCAACTTAAGTTAATAATTTAGCTGCTCTTTGAAAAATAACCCGTATACTCGTAAAATAAGGCTATGTGCAAAATTTCATGCTTTTAGAAAGCGCTTTGATGTGTTAATCAGTAAGTGACTTTTTTCATAACAGGTACATAGTTACGGGTATGTATATTTCATTAAATCTTCCGAAGATGATAGCCTGACCCGATAGGAAAAAGCATAAAAACAATACCAATCGGTGTTAATTTTTTACATTTGCTAGCAATGCTAGTTGCTTGCATGAGTGAAATGAGTACAAGCTTGTAGAATGGGCAATGCAGACTTAGCTAGGTTACTTTGATAAATTATTAAGTTACCCTTTCGTGTCAAATATTGCTCTGGCAAATTTTTACAACTTACTTCTCATCATAATTAAGCAGTTCAGTCTTTAAGAATATTAACTGTAAATGCAAAACTTGACGGGATGATTGATGATGGCATTCACTAGTGATTACAACATCATAAGTCATAAGGGTAAGCACATTGTGACCACCTGAAAAAATAATGCGAAGATGATTGCTACCCCATAATAAACGAGTATTAGGTACGATTTTATATTTTGTGCATAATTGTTTAACTAAATAAATAAATAATAATAGACAAGCAAATAAAAAGTATTATATAAGTACTAGGTATAAGTTTTCTGCCTAGAAGTCCGACTACTGCCCTCTCACTTAAATATTTCTACCGCCAAATAGTAATTCCTGCATTAGAATCAGTATAATTACAGGTTAATTGGCATTCCGTCGTAGTCCTTAGGGTGACAACGCATTTGTAGCATTTTTGTTGGAGGATTTTTGGAACGAAGTTCTTTATTGCACGGTACGAATTTGATGGACGTGGGCTAGGCGTGAATAAGTGTAAGATTTATCCGTCACGACCACTTTCTATAGTGCGAGCGAGATGGAATGATATCCATCTCCCTCGCACTTTTTCTTATGTTGCCATGAAAGAAATGTTATTTTAAATGACTCTTGATTTTAATAGACGCTAGTAATTCGTTTATTTGTTCATGATATAATAAGTTTATCAATAATATAATAAGTTTATCAATAATAATATACTATGAAAGGAACTTCATTCCAACCGAGAGTTCCACGACACTCACACTTGTTTTTTTGCAGGTATTCATGGGCTCCAGTAACCATTTATTATTAGGTGGATAGGTCATTTTTATAAAAAAGACAATTTTATAAAAAAGCAAGAGATCCTAGAAATTTAGTTCAAAGAATATTATTATTAGGTATTTCTACCAAACCTTACTTCTATCAAATAGTAATTCCTGCATTGACCTATTCCGATCTGAAGGTTATAAAGAACCAGTATAGTTACAAGTTTATTGGCATTCCGTCTTTGTGCTCAGGGGTGATAACGTATTTTTAGCATTCTTTGTTTGCAGATTTTTTCCAGACATTCATTTCCTCCAGTAGCCATTTTTGGACTGGTCATTTTTATAAAAAAGACAATTTTATAAAAAAAACAAGAGAGTAATGAAATTTAGTACAAAAAATGTGATTATATTAAAACTATTGTTTGTTTTCAGATATTCCTCAAGCAAAAAAACATGGAGGGGGATGCCTTAACACTGGCGTTTAACGAAAGTTGGTTACTTAGAACTTACGTAAATAATTCAAGCGTTAGTAACGCTAGTAACGCCAGCGGTGCATACGGATGGCGATATATAACGCCACTTTACATTATCGTATTCTTGTTGTCGACATTGGGCAACTGCCTCGTTATCGCAACTCTAATAAGCAATCAAAAGATGATGAATGTCCTTAACGTGTATATACTTAACTTGGTAAGTTTTACGTATAGCGTTAAGGTGATAATTTCTTAAGTTTTGTTAGTTCATTGTCATCATAAGATGTTTTTACTTTCATCATCCTGAAAAAGTAGTTACTGCGTTATACATTTCAAAGTTCTTAGGTTAACATGAGGTAGAGTAATTTACATTATTTTTTATAAGTGTTGGAGTAGCCTATATGAATTTCATTGGTGAAGATCATTTCTCCTCATATTGGTGCTATAGATGTCTGTTTCCAAATTGATCTTTTGTAAGTAGTTGGCAGGTGGCCGTTTGACCGGCTGCGTGTTATTCTTATCTTTAAAAATGAGGTCGATCTTTAATAATATCTCATACTTATTCGTAATATAAAGAACGCAAGGATATTATTTCCCTTGCCATAGAGCAATGTATAGAAGTGTAGTGTATAGTGTGTAAATCCCAACCCAAGCATACATCTGCAAGACTTCAAGATACTATAAGCTAATACAGTGTAGTTTGCACCAAATATTAATAAATTTAAACTGAAAGTAGCCGGGGTTAACTAAGAGATTGGGACGTTGAACACCTCAGTCCCTCCTCGAGACTATGGGTGCTGCAAAGTACTCGAAACGTCGGGTATATAGAATAAGTTAATATACGCGTTAAAGTCCATAAACTACTTTCATTTAAGTGTTGATGTGTTGATAAGTACCATATTACTTTTAATTTTAATAATGTTAACAGTGATATAATTAAAAATTTTAAGTTAAGCTTAAAAAAAAAAACTAAAGTTCTTGGGGGTCTCTCAACATACATACATACATATAATCACGCCTCTTTCCCGTGGGGGTAGGCAGAGACCAGTTCTTTCCACTTGCTACGATCCTTGCATACTTGTTTTGCTTCGTCCACTTTCATTATTCCCTTCATACATGCTCTACGGTTTAGGGTACTCTTGACCTGGCCTTTTTTCAAGACGTCCCTGATTTGGTCTAGAAATGTCCGCCTAGGTCTACCCCTTCCAACACTTTCATTCACACTCGCCTTATACACTTTTTTCGTCAATCGTTCTTCATTCATTCTCTCGACATGGCCAAACCATCTCAGCATACCTTTCTCAATTTTTGTCACTACATCTTCTTTCAGACCACAACGTTTCCTTATCTCACTATTTCTTAGCCTGTCACTTAGTTTAACTCCTATCATACTTCTTAATGCTCTCATTTCAACTGCATTTATTCTGCTTTCATGTTTCTTCTGCCATACCCAAGTTTCACTTCCGTACATGAGTGTCGGAACCAACACCCCCTCATGCACAGCCAAACGAGCCTTGTTAGACACCTTCCGACTGCTCATAAAGGAGTGCAAAGCTCCATTCCCCATGTTTCCTGCATTCACTCTTCTTTCGATATCACTCTCACACTTTCCATCTCTTGTAAACTTTGAACCCAGATACACAAACTCTTTCACCTGTTCAATTTGTTCATCTTCAATCACAATGTTGCAGTCTGTCACTGCCTCATCTTTTTCAAACACCATCACTTTCGTCTTCCTTACATTCATCTTCATTCCCTTTCTAACAAAAGCTCCACTCATAGCAGTTACCATCTCCTGCAACTCCTTGGCCGAAGACGCAAGTAATACTTGGTCATCAGCATAGAGAAAACATTTGACGAGTAACTCATTCATTCTCAACCCACTTTCATTCTCTTTTAAATCTGTCAAACAATTGTCCATGAACAGATTAAACAGCCACGGTGACGCCACACATCCCTGTCTAACACCTTTTTCGATATTAAACCATTCAGTGTATGCCCCGTTTATCCTTACACAAGCACTAGAATCCCTATAAAGAGATTGCATTGCTCGTATGAGGATACTGCTCACACCGTTCACGGACAGTGCTGACCACAATTCATTCCTCACCACTCTATCATAGGCCTTTTCTAGATCTACGAACGCGCAGTAGACTTTCTTGTTTTTAGCCAAATACTTTTCGGCTATGCACCGCAAGGAAAAGACCTGATCCGTACATCCCATTCCCTTTCTAAATCCCGCTTGTGCATCCCATACTTTCTTGTCTGTTTCATTCACAATCCTTTCAATCAACACTTTCGCATACAATTTACCAACGACGCTGAGAAGGCTTATACCGCGGTAATTTATGCAGTCCTGCCGTGACCCTTTTCCCTTATACAATGGCACGATTACGGCTTTGCACCAGTCTCCCGGTACTTGCCCATTTCGCCAGCACAGATTAAAAAGGCGGTACAGCTGACTAGCCACCAGGCCCTGTCCAGCCCTCAGCATCTCGACGGTAATCCTGTCATACCCTGCAGCCTTACCTAATCTCATACTTTTCAACGCTTTCACTATTTCATCCATGCTTATCTCATTTTCATCAACATTTATATTAGTTTCCGTGGAAGGTGGCAGATGCTGTACCTGCACTTCCTCTCTTTCAAACAAACTTTCAAAATACTCTTTCCATCTCTTTAACACACATTCTTCTCCTTTTATAATGCTCCCATCTTGACTCCTGATTGTACTCAGCTCCGAGATAGAAGTTTTTCCTCTGGCTGCTTTGATGGTTTTCCAGAAAAACTTAATGTTTGACTGGAAATGTTCAGTGAGCCTCCTATCGAAATCATCCTTTCGTTCTTCTTTCTTTCTAGACACAATTTCTTTCGCTGCTGTTTTCAATCTTTTATACTTCGTTCTTGCTTCCTTTATCTCGTCATCCGTTGCCTTTTGAACTTTTTGGTTAGCTTTTGTTGCTAACCAATCCAACCACGCTTTCTTCTTTTCTTGCACAACCTTTTGTACATCTTTATCCATCCACACGTTATCATTCTTTCTTCCTTTCCTTCTTTTAGCTACCCCGCATACCTCAATAGCAACATTTACGACCCCTTCCTTAAATGTCTCCCACAAATCTTCAATCACTCCTATCTCTTCTATCCCTTTAAAACTTTCTTTCAGTTTGTCTACATACTCGTCTTTCTTTTCTTTTTCTTGTAGATTTTCCACTTTTACTCTGTCCAAAACACTCGTAGGCTCGGCCACTCGGTGTCGCCACCGTTTAAAGAGGCCACGCATTCGGGCTATGACCAGGAAGTGGTCTGTGTCGAGGCCTACACCGCGGTATGCCCGAGTGTCTAGTACTTTCTTTCTCAGTCTTTCATCCACAATTACAAAATCAATCATACTTCTAGACTCACCCTCATCTCTTGTATACAAATGGATCTTTTTGTGGTCAAACATTGTATTGGCCACGCACAGATTCCATTCCAAGCATACTTCAAGCAGGCTTCTCCCATTGTCATTCACTCTCTCGTCCCCAAACGTACCCAGAACTCCTTCATACCCATCACGCTTTACTCCAACCCATCCATTAAAGTCCCCTAACATCACGATCCGTTCATTTTCTCCGCATTTATTCAAGACCTCTCTCATGCTATCCCAAAATTCCTCTCTCTCTTGTTGTGTTTTTAATGACCCACCTCCACGCAGATCCGTAATCATCATCATCATCATCATCTCAACAACTAATATTAAATCAAAATCAATACCATTGCACCGCTATTAAGTCGTCTTTTTAATATTGTGTTGAGAATGGTACTTTTCCAAACTTAATAAAAGAGTAAAATAATTCCCCTTTTAAATTATCTTAGTAAATGTGGTCTTATTAATGTTCAACCTATATCTATACTGCCAGTAATGAGCATAGTTTTAGAGAAAATATTTTATAATTCGAAATAATATTTTTTTTTCATTAAATTAACTATTTATTTCGTCGGAGTAATAACGGTTTAGCTAAAGGTAAAAGTACTACATAATCACACTAAAACGGTACACTGGAATGGTAAACAGGAATTTTCGACGTCCAAATCCAAGGTGATCGATAGTGCAAAACATGCGACAATGCTAGCAAATAAAATTATGGTGTCTTAAAAATCAATTAACCTTATGAAATCATACATATCAAAATAATTTATACGACTAAAATTAATTTTTATTAATAGATAAGTACTTATCTTAATATGAAATTGGGTATCAAATTTTTATTTTTAACTTGATAACCTGAACTTCAAAGTTTTGCTTAGAAGTTTATGATTTTTTATATGGATTCGTTGGCAATGATGTAACGAAATAGCTAAAAATACGTTGAACAGTATTGAACAAATATATACATTTATTTAAATTAATGAAAATATAGTTCCATTACGAATAATTTATTTTTAAAGTCTCTCTTTAGAACATTATGTGCTATGTAGCACACAATTCAGTAGAAATTGTTTATCCGTTTGTCTTGCGTAAACTAAACTGCCCTTTTTGCTGAGTCACTTACAGTCGAAGAGAATATGACCACTACGTTTACTTACAGCCTTCAAAAATGACAGTTTTATCTTCACATAAGATGTATTTTCCTTCCACAATGATACATTTTCCTTCAAAAAACTGAAGTCAATTTTCAACGCATAAATAACTCCATACTCATTTTCGAAGATCAAAGACTTCCGTGAAAGCAAAATAAGTAATTACATTTATTTAAGAAATAAACTTTATTACATTTATAACAATATCGTACAAAGAGTTTAATATTTCTTCCTTCAAGAGAATGTATCTATTTCCTCCATTGTATTATTGCTCAGATTCTTAATTGGAAACCATTCTCATTTTCTCTCGGTTATTAACTTCATCAATTCTAAACAGATCACTAAAATAGAATCTCTTGCATTGGAAATTTTAACGTTAAGGAGATAAAGATAATTCGTTTGTCATGTAGTAATGGTGGAAGAGAACCTATCTTTCCGTTTCGTATCGAGGCTATTATAATAAATAAATATTAGAAACTCTTGGCAGTATAGCCATCTCGTTTACCCTAGATGTAAAATGCCCAGGCCTTCGACGGACAGCAGTGTCAAAGGGTCATAACTACGAAAAATGGCATCTTTTTGTAGATCAACTTTCCGTTCCGTCTTAAATTTAATATATTAATTATAAAGTAAATTTTTGCTCCTTACTCTAATATAAAATTGATATAAAACTATTTTTTTTACGGATTTTATCGCGTTTAATTTACTTTTTTAATTCCCGACGTTTCGGGTGCTTTACAGCAACCCATCTTCTCTATTGAAATTAGGATGTTTTTTTTTAATTTCAATAGCCTCGCGTATCATCCTTGGTAAGAATCGGTGTTCTTTTGCGAAGTTCTATCAAATCTGATGTAATGGCGGGGACGATATTGAACATGTTCACTGACTGCAGACTTCCCAGAGCGTCGGTGCTTCACGTCAGCTATATGTTCTTTCACGAAGGTTTTAATGGATCTTTTTGTTTGCCCTATGTAAGAGAGACCACATTCACAATCCAGCTTGTAAACTCCTGCATCTTGTAGAGGGATATGACTCTTGACGGATGGTAAAAATTGACTTATCTTCTTCGGCGACTTGAAGTATGTTTTAATATAAGCTCGCTCCAAATGTTTTGTTTTGTCTGTGACTCCTCTGACATAGGGTAGTACAGCAGGCACACGCTCGACTGTGGTCGGCTACATTCGGTCACTGTGACGTAAGCGTGGGACCCGAAGCTTGTTGTCTTGCAATACTTGCTCGACGTGCTGAAGCTCGGCGGCCAGATGTTTTCTGTCACAGATCCCTCGTGCTCTCTGAAACAAAGATTTTCCCACGCTAGCTAACTGTGATAGATGATGGTGCGATTCACCATTTACATATCGGTTGCTATGGGTCTTTTTCCTTTACACAGTGTGACCAATAGCGTTATCAGGATTTCGGATGACTAAAACATATAGGAAAGCTAAAGAATTGTTTGTCTCTAACTCCATTGTGAGTTGTATTTTAGAGTTTATGGAATTAAGGTGGTCGAAAAATGCAGTTACTTTGTCAGATGGTAAAATTGTGGTAGTGTCGTCTACGTACCGCTTGTAGAATCTTGGATTTACAGAAGGGCTTTCTCCTCAAAGTCCTCTATGAATATGTCGGCGACTATGGGAGATACAGGTGAGCCCATCGCCTGTGTGTTGGTTCTTAACCACTCAGTATAAATATAATGTCAGTTATTTGACTCCAAAAGTTCAGTAATTTCTTCGGGGGGTAATGTATAAGCTTTTACAACAAAATCTCAGAAAATATCTAAGTAACTATAATAAAGCTGCAGCGTATGGTGAGTGTTGAGAACAGTAGACCAACCAACCGGGTACCAGAGGTATATTTTTACTGGAAACGAGACATTCTATCTTAGTTCTTAGGGTGTAAAAATGCATCTATATTCCGACTCTTAATCGAGTAAAGATGTTGGTGTCTACGGGCCACAACAATCACATACCATTAGATGGGTTGTGTACTCGTTTAAACTTCTACATCTATTCTCCATTAAGAAGCAAAATATAGATGCGTTGTCACCCCTAATAACTGAGATGAAATGCCTCTTTGCAAGTAAAAAGGGTCTCCGGTTCTCTACACTCAACATAGGAAATACAGCAGCATTAATGTTTACTGCTGGTATTCTATGAAAGCGTGGTCCTACCCCGGTCGAGCCTACCCATTTGTGCTACAACCATAACATAGCTGCAGCGTGGTTCTACAACGTATTTTTTTCAATTGGATGCATTCATATACATATACATTACATATTCATTTCCGTTTTTAATTTTTTCCGTATTTATTTTATATATTTTTATTAACATTCGACTAAATTTTAAATGCTAAAGGGAATTTTGTGCTATTTTATCTGCGTGAGTGATAGTTACTACGAAGTTCATATTCCTCATTGATACAGTACAAAAAAACGCAACTAATGATTTCAAACATAATATAATATCGAATAAAATTATAAAATAAATCCAAGAATTCATATTTTGAATTTCGTTTTGGTCGTTCTGTAAAAAACTGCTGTTTTTGATTTGTTTCCTTTTTGTATTTAATAAGCAAAATATTTTTGTAATATAATAATTTATTGTGTTAAATAAAAAATACTCATATCTGTTTTAGACAATATCTGATTTTATGCTGGGCGTATTCTGTATACCTTTTACTCTAATTGGTCAAATATATAAACAATTTCTATTCGGAGCAGCTCTATGTAAACTGATTCCTTTCCTACAAGGTAAGTTATTACTGACAAAGTTACATTAAATAATACCAACGAAATGTACTATGTATTTTTTTTTTAATTTTATCAGATAAAAAGCTACTCTATGTTTTTAAATTGCAATAGCAGACTTAGAAAAGAAGACTAGAACTCTAGAATCACAAAACGTTGAATATCGTTGGGTAAGGGATGGGTTATAAAAATGGACGACAGGTGGTAACATGTTACTTTCGCTTTTGGCTCGTACCAAAAGCAAAAGTAACATGTTACCACCTGTCTTGTCTGCCTTATTACTGTACAGCGTGTCATCATGATTACAGCTAATCATAGGCCTCTGCTATTGGTGATATTTGGATTGGTATCTGCAGTTTTTTAATATTTTGAGTTTTTATCAGAAGAATGTCGACACCCACAGGATAATGTGTGTGTCGACATTCTTCTGATAAAAGAATTGTGGATTCTCTTAAATCGTTACTACACGGCGGTAAAGCATGTACTAAATATGTAAATATTACTTGATTGATTTTATGAGAAAAGATGTTTAATAAATATTCTTATTCAGCATTCTAAAAGAAATTTAAGTTAAGTCGAATGTAATGTTTTTATACTACGTACATAAATTAAAACGAGTATAATCCAGTTTCAAAATTTTGCAGAAATTACTAATATGGCAATATAAGTTTTTTATGTCATTCTCTTGATAATTAAATGATTTTTGTAATTAAATATTACAAAAATCATGTGAAAAGAAGGACTTAAGGTAACAAGGCGTTCTCTCTCAGTTCACCTTTATGTCAAAAAGAGAATATATAAATATATATAAGATGAGCCAAACCAGCATGTTTTGACCTGACCTGATTGCTACTATCCACAGTAGTCACTTGAAAGCAGCAGCCCGGGAGAAATTCGACCTTTGAGGAACGAGTGGGCTCTTTCCTTGGGTCTTTGTTTCATATCAACCTTGCGAGGAAGAAAACTTCTGTAAAACCGCATGCTGGTGGTACCCCAACCATCCATAGTACGGTGTGGATGGATAAGAATAATTATTTTGCAAAGTGCGATGGATGGCAAGAAACTTGACGACTAGAATTAATCGTAAAGTTATCAAAAAAAGATAATAATAGATGACGACGAAACCTTAACTCAACTCAGCGGCGTACATTCAGGTTATAAAACTAAAAATGTGTCCGCTGCAATGTTCGAGTGCTAACTGAGGGTTTCACTTGTACTCGTAATATCTAGTATTTATATCTCTCACTTTTTATGGAATGAAAACGGACGCCAGACTCCAGATTCTATTTCTCTACTAAAACTTCAATGAAAAATACTGAACGAGGAAAACTGCACAAGTTTATTACGTATGTCACTCAATATGTTTTGAGATGCTTGAAATTTAAAAATGGAACGCACCCATTTTATGTTTTTAAAAAGCAAATTTATTTAAAAATAGAACTCCATAAGCCAATTGCTCAATATTAAAAAAAAACAAAGTTCTATTAATTTTCCTGCCACGCTTCCTACGCTTTTCATTTAAAACGATGGATCTTAACCGTGAACATTTGCGCGCTATGATATATTATGATTTTAAATTTGGTTTAACAGAACAATTAAGTTTACAACGGTAACAATCAGGACTCAGGGACTCCATCACGCGCAACAATTTTTAGGTGGTTTGCTGAATTCAAAAGCGGTAAAATTAATCTTAAAGATAACCAAAGAACCGGGCCCTGCAAACAGCAGTAACGGCAGAAAATGTATGGACTACTGAAATGTTGGTGCGAGAAGACCCACGAATAACATATACGGACATCGATAAGATTAGTTTGGAGAGTATACATACCATCCTACTTCAACATCTTGGAGTGAGGAAGCTTTTTTGTCGATGGATCCCTCGTTTGCTCTCCAAAAGCGAAAAACAGACTCGTGTGGATTAATGCCATGAAATGCGTCTACGTTTTGAAAACGGGGCATCTAGAAGTGTTTCAGAAATCACTACTGGTAACAAGACGTGGATCTATCAATATGATTCGGAAAATAAAAGGCAATCATCGGTATGGGTCTACTCAGAAGAACAGTTACCGATAAAACTGCAAAGACCTCGAAACGTCGGCAAAAAAAATGGTGGCTAGTTTTTTTTTAGCGGAGCGGACATTTATCGACGTCAATGCTGGAAAAATGTAGGTCAGTCAACTCTTAATGGTATACTACAGTTACATTACCCAAAGCTTTTCAAGCTGTACGGGAGTGAAGACCAAAGACCGGGCTTCGGGGAATCATGCTGCATCACGATAACCCCTCTTCACATACCTCCCTTAGAACAAAAGCATTTATTGAGGAATCTGGTGTTGAAACTCTAAGTCACCCACCCTACAGCCTGGCAAAAGTGTTTTCAGAGTTGGTTTAGGTGAATGGAACTTTGTATAGAGTATGATGGAGAAGAATATTTTGAAAAGATATAAAAGAAATATTAATGGTATCTAGAATATTATTGTATATCTCAAAACTTATTCATTAACCTACGTATTAAATACCTAGAGACTGTTTTCTGTTTCATAAACACGTTTAACGATTTTGGAGATTAACAACCGACTAATCAGTCGTATTTCATTTATTTTACCTCTACAAGGACTTAGGGCTAGAACTTAGTACTAAGGACTACAAAAAACCTTTTTTGAATTTAGCTAAAGTTAAAGTTACTATAAAGACAGATAACAAACAATTTTTCTGTAATTCGTTGACAAATTTGAAGATATTGTCAGTCCTAGGCGGTTGACAGGCGGCGAATTGCTGTACTTGTTAATTTTTTGCAATGTAATTATTGCGTAAAAATAAAATGATAAAAGGTAAATGAAGCAAGAAAACAAAAACACGTACCGCAATAATTAGCTTGATAAAAAATCATAAAAATGACACTAATTTGCTACTTGAAAGAGTACTTTGCTGGGAGTTAATAATACACCGTGTTAAACTTCATCATCACCATCATCATTACAGCCTTTCACAAGTCACTGCTGCACATAGGCCTCCCCCAAGGAATGCCACAAAGCACGGTCCTGAGCCACCTGCATCCATCGACTTCCTGCATGTCTTACCAGGTCGTCACTCCATCTAGTGGGAGGTCACCCTGCACTTCGCCTACCGGTACGAGGCTTCCACTCAAGAACCTTTCTTCCCCATCGGTTGTCGTTTCTTCGAGCTATATGGCCAGCCCACTGCCACTTCAGCTTACTAATCCGTTGGGCTATGTCGGTTACTCTGGTTCTACTGCGGATATACTCATTTCTAAGTTTATCACGCAGAGAAACTCCGAGAATAGCCCTCTTCTTAGCTCGCTGAGCGACCTTGAGCTTCCTCATATGGCCAGCAGTGAAGGACCACGTCTCAGATCCGTAAGTCATCACTGGCAACACGCACTAGTTGTACATTTTCGTTTTAAGGTTTTGAGGCATGTCTGACGAGAAGATGTGTGAAACTTAATGAAATAAAAAGGCTTTCTATTTATAGGGAGTGTTGTACAAAACCGTTTTTAATTTTTATTTAAAAAAAATGGAACTGTTCAAACGTGCAAGGTTGCCACGGCCAGTGCCCGCCGAGCCATCAACTTCCTTTACCAACGCTTCTCCTGTCAGAGGAACAAATTGATATTTATAATTATATATTTGTGCATAGGTATGTGTATATATTTGGGGTATTTAATTAGTATCTCATCTGTTTCGATTGTAAAAAAATATATATAAAAATGATAAATATGTATGAAATACACTATATGTTGAATACCATATGTAAAATATTATAAAATAAATAGTAAATGAATAAATAAATAAACAGAAATCCAACCAGATGCAATGCTTTGGCAGGGGATACCAAACGGCCGAGGGTTATGGGAAAGGGAAAGAAACCAGCGGAATATGGGAGCGGTATCGAGGAGCATTGACATCTGCATTTGAGCCCGGATATTATATACTCGTATATATTATTATTATTATTTATAATATGTGTGTATTTGTTTACTTTTAACAATATTTTTTTGTTCTTTCTAACCGCCTAGTCTTCACAGTGTTCATCACTGCCCTAAGTTTGAATGGTGGAGAATGCTTTTAGCATCAACTTCGCTTTTTGATTCTGCATTGCTTTGTAAAGTTAACGAAATGGATTAAACCTCATTTTAAATCATAAGTATCATCATCATTACAGTCCTCTATAAGTCTACTGCTGAACATAGGCCTCCCCCTAGGAATGCCACAAAGCACGGTCGTGAGCCACCTGCATCCATCGACTTCCTGCATGTCTTACCAGGTCATCACTCCATCTAGTTAGGGGACGCCCTACACTTCGTCCGCTGGTACGAGGCCGCTACATTAGAACCTTTTTCCCCATCGGTTGTCGGTTTTTCCAGCTATAAGCCCGGCTCATTGCCACTTCAGCTTACCAATCCGTTGGGCTATGTTGGTCACTCTGGTTTTTAGCACAGAGTCAATAAGTAGGCGTAATTGTGTCCGTAAATAAGTAAAAGCAAAAAAAGTAGTCAGTAGAACAAGGAATAAATGCAACGATAAAGAAAGCGAGAGATAAAAACAAGTACGAAAAGAATATTGATCAGAATATTTCAAAGCCACAAATTATTCAACCTGTGAAAATAAACATTGATTTGACATGCGTAGTTACAATATTGACGCAATGATGTCTTTTTTTTATAGGATAGGGTGACAAACAAGCACACAGTCCACCTGATGGTAAGTGGTTGCTGTAGCCCATAGACATCTACATCTATCCTCGTTTGCGAATCAAAATGCAGATGCCTTGTCACCTGTGAGGACTAAGATGGAATGCCTCTTTTCCAGTAAAAAGGGTATCCGGTTCTCCACACTCACATAACGAAACACAGCAGTTTTAAGCTGTTATTATACGCTGGTATTCTGTAAGCGCGTGGTTCTTCCACGGTCGAGCCGACCCATTCGTGCTACAACTATACTACTAATATAGCTGCAGCATGGCTCTACCATGTTAAAAAGTGTCTAATGATCATTACACAAAATGCACGAAAATCAATGATTGTAATTCATTAATTATGGTAATTATTCAATTCATGATTATTTTCGAAGTATAATTGATGGTTTATAATAAATTCTAATAGAAATCGGTGAATAATATTTTTATATGACAAAAATTCAAAAATATTTTTTAAATATTAAATAGGCATTTTATAGGTACTATTGCGTTTTGTGTACGTAGTTACGTATTCGTACAAAGAAACGCAAATGTTATTAAAAAAAATCTAAAAATGATAAAATATTCTGTTGAATTTCCTTTTTTTCTGTTGATTTCCCCGCTAGTTGTACAAAATAATTATTTATTACAAAAAAGTCCAATACATATAATCTACAAAGTTACATGCATTTACCTTTTATATACAAAGTGGAGCACTATCTGGAATTGTCTTTTCGGGCACTGCGGCCAATCTCAATGGAGACTAAAATAAATATCTGCGCAGAACAGGTAGGTAATCCAACACGACCGGAGAGAGGGTTCAGAATATCTGGCTTCATAAAACATGTTTACGACCTCTACACCAACAAGGCAAGAGTAATGGGCATTTTCTTTCAGGAGGAGATTATCATAAAATCTTAAAAGACAAAACGATTTAATAAATTATTTAATCTTAAAAAGGCTAATAAATAATTAAAAATTTTGGCACCCGACTCTATAAAATAATGTCTTTTTATAAAAATCAATTGCTGTCCGTTATTGTTCGTTAGTCTCGCAAAAAATTGAAAATAGCTCGACCTATTTTGATGACTTTTTTGTGTGTATTTAAATGGGTCCCTGGATGGTTTAAAACTCAGCGCTGTCGTCGAGATCTAGAATTCACCACTGCAAAACTAAGACGTTCGCTAGTACGTAATAATGTTTATGTAGTATTCAATAATGCTTTTTTTTCAGCCGTTTCAGTTTCAGTTGACGTCTGGACATTAGTTGCAATATCTCTGGAGAGATATTTTGCCATTTGCAAACCACTGAAATCTAGAAAGTGGCAGACTCAGTGCCACGCTTACAAAATGATCGGAATAGTGTGGGTGCTCTCATTGGTGTTTAACTCGCCCATTGCGATTGTGTCAACCTTACAACCTATGGGAGAAAATAGTAAGATACACAATGTTATAAGTGCTTCACTTCATTCGTTCATATAGGTTTCTTAAAATTTTCAAATGGTAAATCGCTTTCAGATGTTGTATATTATAAGACTACACGGCATTACTATATTAAGCAACTACTAGATGATAGGTCTGCTTGTTTGTGTTTGTAAAGTCATCTTATTTATGCTTAAAGTACCCAACAACATAGTCAAGCTTAAATTTTAAACACAGTTATTACTATGCATGCACAATAAGAAAACAGCTTTGTTTTGCAGAAGAGTGTCATAAGATCTATTTACAACATAAAACCGAAAGTCTCTCCGAAATAAATATATTAATAATGGTATCTCATTATATTTACGAAAATTTAATTCATGTCCACAAAAACTCAAGTGGTTTAAAAAAAGGAAAAAACGTTCGTAAATAACATAAAAAAAACACAAGCTTAGTAGTAATATTCGTTACTCAACTCCACAGAGTCAGTAACTCATTAATGGGGCATACAAGGTCTATCTATTATAACTTTCTTACAAAAAAAAAAGAATTTACAAAAAGGGTTTCTATAATATAAATGATTACATGATTGATACTAAGCCATAAGTATGGGTTATCGCTTCCAAGCTGTTTCTTATATGAGTGTTGTACATAAATGTACAACCAATTTTATCCATCTATATATATTATACAAGCGAAATACCGCTAACTGACTGACTGACTCATCACAAGATCTCTAAAACTATAGAAATTTAGTATAATTACGCATTTCGCAATGTAGACGATGCTCACTAAGAACGGATTTTACGATAGTCCCATAAAAAAATATTTTAGATGTAGGTTCCGCAATGAAATATTATCGTGTGCCCAGCGAAACGGGCGGGTATCAGCTAGTACTGTATAATGTTATTGTGGAAAAAAGTCCCGCTGGGCTTATTATTGGTTCTTCTAAGAACAAAGATTTTTCCAAACCAGTGGTCAAAGTAAAAATAACTTTTAATAACAATTATTTATAATCTATATTGAATAAATAATCTATTGTTCCGTTTTATTCTCTACTGTTCTATTCTGTTCTACTCTTTTCTACTCTAATCTATTCTATTATATCGGTTCAGATCTCGATATGCCTGTGAATAATTATTTTCTCATCTCATTAAATAGATTTTTTTTTCAGGATACAAGTGCAGAGAGGAATGGACTAGTCTAGAACTAAATATAGCGTTTACTTTGAGCTCAGATGCTTTCTTGATGCTTATACCGTTTTTTATTATGTCTATCGCCTACTATTTAATTGTGACTAAGTTATGGAGTGGAATGCGCAATGAAATCAAGCATAACCTAAAGTGGCACAAAAATTGTAAGTAAAATTTAAATAGCCCTTTTGAAATATATTATACTGATAAACACATTTACAGTCGTCCGATTTCTTTGACTGACCAAAAGAGTCATCTAGATACAAATGAAATTTCACAGAAGTCAGTAGTTTAGAACTCATGATCCTTTTAAACTTTTTGCAATTCGCCACTCTTCTAGTCACATAAAACATTAATTTCCATTCATCAAACAAATTTTTTCATGATAGTCTGCACTAATGATGCACTAGCAAACTACCTAGCATTCGAAGCGCCATTTTTGTTATTATTCATCTTTTATTTATTTTTTATAATAATTGGACTGATAATATTAATTAAATAGTCAACAATAGTTTTCATAAAATAAACTTTCTAAAAGTTTTAATAAGTAACAGAAGATTTATGTGTGAAACTCTTTGGAAAAATCTTCCCTCTAAATTGTACATAACGTCTATTGTTTTCTGTTCAATTTATTTCGTAAAATACATATATCATAACCTAGTTTGTGACCAAGTAAAGCAAAGATGATGTCTCCAATGTATTGATGAAGAGTTATATGCTACTTTGCAAATATTCTCAATAATTAGCGATATTGGAATTATATATAATTGAGTTTTAAATTTATATATAAATAAATTCGTTCTTTATTCTAGTGACAATGGAAGAATCATGTACTCGTGAGGACAATCATCATTTAGAACAAACGCAAACATCAAAGGGAAACACTTCAGTGTTACATCAATACAGCTCGAGTTCGGAGAAATCGAACGAGGTATAATTATGGTAGGAGATAAATGTCTCAAACGAATCCTCGTCATTTAACATCGCTACGTTTGAAAGGCGCATAGGCGATAGCAATATGAGATGTCTTGCACCACAGATAATCTGCGTCTTGCACCTTCGACCCTTGTTTTCTCCGTCATTCGCGGTATTTAACATCTGGTTCTGGTATGACACAACGATAAAAAACAAAGAACGAACAAAGAATAAAAAATTATATTTACAATAAACATAATTGTTTTTCTATTTTAAAACTGTAACTATTATTATTTCACCCTTATTCACATCCCGCCTGCCAAGCGTGGCAGTTATGTAAAATATACTCTTTATGAGGCAATCTATAGGCGAGGCCTATGGATGCATGGAAACGTAAGGGTGACGAAGCGAGCACATAGACTTTTTAATAATAAATGGATACTTCATGCCATAGACATCCACATATTCAATCGATAATGAATCAAAATGTAAAGTTGTTGCCACTCCTAAGCACTAAACTGCAATGTTTCGTGACTAGTAAAAAGGGTCCTGGTTCTCGAAACTTACCATAAAAAACCAAGCAGCATTTAGCTGCTATTTTACATTGGTACTTTGCGAGAGCGTGATATTTCCTCAGTAGAACTATTTAAATCTGTTAACGGTATATCTATTGTAAAACTAGCCCTATGTAAAACTCTCACTTTTAAAATTTAATTTAGGTTTTATTATCAGGAGAAAGAAGAAGCTACAGAGTTCGACAAGAAGGCAGAAACGATTTGTGTGCACACGAATCTAGAATCTGGTCACGTGGTGCGTTCTAGTCACATAGAAAAAAGTATAAAAACTAAACGCAAGGTAAGCTAATTTTTTTGGATCTTCTTTCTACTTCTAGTCATTATTAGAAATAAATATCACTTCTGATGTCCATCTTCAGCATTATATGAATAAAAATTCAGAAAGAAGATGAAGAATTCAAAGCTTTTTGCCTGATATGTCTCTTTCATTGAATTTTTAATTAACCCTTTAGGTGAAATTTATGCTTTGAATTTTATTAGCGGATTATAAATGAAAGAGCGTGGATAAAACATATTTTGTTTATAACATTACCTACCTAAAATTAAGACGTATATATTATAAAAATGGTAAGATTTTTAATAATGTTTTAAAAGCGCCTTAACTTTAACGTTCCCATACTAATACACTTAAAAAATAACTAGTTGAGTCTACAATGTTACAATTAATTTAATAAGGATTCCCTCTTATTAAAATTTTTCTTTGATAAATTGTGTGATATCTAATTTTAAATAAATTTAGTTTTGTTGCCTTTAACCAACGTCGTAATGTTACAAATAATAAAATACCTAAGTACTAGGTAAGGTTTTTATTTTAACCAACATTTAGGATTTGTTGATTGCAGAGTTTATGTGTTTCCATCCGAAAACAATGTGGGTGTCTTCAAAGAAAAAGTGAATAGGCCTTTGTTAAGTCAGTGCGCTTCACCATCTTAGGCTACATCACCACTTACCATCAGGTGGGATTGTAGTTAAGCGCTGGTTTAGAATATTATAATTAAAAAAAAACTAACATATGCATTTACATATATACCTAAATACACATATGAATAAAATTGAAGTGTCTGTTGGTAATATTACATACTAAATAGTATATCAAAAATATATATAAAAAGTATATAAAAAGTAATATCAAAAGCTTTTATTAAGTTCAGGTGGTTATCTGCATGCTATCAAAACATGAATAATATATATTACTAGCGACCCGCCCCGGCTCCGCACGAGTGATTTCTGGACCTCGACAACAGCGCCACTTACCGGGTCCAAATGTGAATAGTTTAGATCATACACGGACCCACACAGCCACACACACACACACACACACACACACACACACACACACACACACACACACACACAGAGAGAGAGAGAGAGAGAGAGAGAGAGAGAGAGAAAGAGAGAGTGAGAGAGAATAGATTTCATCATAATCGGAAAAAACTACCGGAAAGCAATTGATTTTTATATATAGAGATTTTATTTTTCTCTGTCTTTCTGCAAATCTGAGATACGAAACTTCACGATCTTATCTTTTGCAAGGATAAAATAATAAACACCTTTTTTAAATCAAACCAATAAGGTCCTCAATTTTATTTTAAGCATTTTTTAACATTACACATAGCTTTCAAGACACTAGTAGAAATGAGTATTAAATGAGTATTAAATGGTTTTTCCATTATTCAATCACTTGCCCAAAAATACTATTACACTATTATGGATCTGGTCTTTTAAGAATTTCAAACTTCAATTTTTATTAAATACTTAGATAACTAGTTATTAATAAAATTCAATTAGTAAAATATAAGCAATTACAAACATTAAGTTTTTTTGTTGTTTCAGGTGATAAAAATGCTTTTTGTTGTAATACTTGTATTTTTTGTTTGTTGGACGCCATTGCACATCGTTAATACGGTAAGTTAAACATTTGCTTTGAAATTCACTATCATAAACAAATATTGTTAACTAACTTACAAAAAACTTGTGAAGGAATATGTCGTGAGAAAACCTAGATGTCGACGAAATTAAAAAGGAATATTTCGATTGTATGTTTACCAGCAATCATAAATAGGTAACGTAAAAGAGATTATTTCTTCTAAACAAAAGAATTCAAAGGGCCTTGAGACAGTCTCTACCATGGAGTGATGAGAATTTGACGAGGTGTAGTAATATGTAGAATAAAAAACAAAATAAATATGATAATTAACTACGCAATATACACATATTATATAACCTATACATACATAATATACAAATTTATTAAATTCTATATATGCTGCTTTAACTTCGGAACTTTGTTAGCGCAATTTAGGCTTCGATGTGTTTCGCTTGTGGCGCGATGACAGCGCCGCCACATCACCCCTCTGCTCAGACCGGAGTTCGATAGTGCAGTCTAGGTATCGACGAATTTGCAAGTGCCAAGGAATTGCCTTGTAAGTCTGCGGTGAGTCGAGAAGAAGGCAAGTAATCTGCGAGAGTGTCGTGAAGCAGAGGCGAGCAGTAAGGCTCAGAGCCGTGCCGAACACTGTAGCGCAGAGAGTAGCTTGAAGGAACAGGAAGCATTGTTATTCCAGTGCTGCGATGAACCTTTGTAAAGCTAAATGGCTTGCAGAATGTGAAGACTACAGACAATATCTGCTCGGGAGCGAATGAATGGGGTACTTGAGTACGACGACGAATGTTTTGAAGTATAGGTTGCGTGTTCAGATCACGTCGAGGTCACCACTGTAGCCGTAGGAAGGAAAAGGGGAGATCTCCCGCCGGGCAAGGTGTTTTGCCCGGGGAGCGGCCACCGCTCCGATTGGTAGTTCGGAGCTATTCTATATATGCTGCTTTAACTTCGGAACTTTGTAAGTGCGATTTAGACTTCGATGTGTTTCGCTTGTGGCGCGACGACAGCGCCGCCACACACATATATGTATATATATATATATATATATATATATATATATATATATATGTGTGTGTGGCGGCGCTATATGTGGCGCATATATATATATGACGGCACCTGCACTGTTGTAGGTGCGGTGGCGTCGGTCTAGCTAGACAGAATTCTTGTAAACGACACGTGTACCGCACACCTGCGGCATTGCACCTGCGTTGCCACCCGTCCTGCTTGTATAAAACGGACGGAGCGGCCGCCGTTAAGAGAGTCTTGGCTCTGACGTGGAACGGTACGCTTGTCGTATTCCGTTACTAGTTTATCCTTAACTCGTTGGATAGTTAATTCGAGTAAACGAATTAATTATTATTCCTAACTACAAAATTAGTCTCTGTACTATACACAATTACCCTTTCTACATCAGAAGTGGGATAAAGTCCCTGTTACTGCCCACCTGCTATAACCTTTGAATAGTGTAAGGGTTATTACGTTGGTGAAATACTATAATGCGCCTCGCGTTTTGTTTTTGTGTTCAATTTTATAATCAAGTTTGTTGTCGTATTTACGACATTGACGAATCATTAAAGTGTAGAGTAAAAGTTTAAAGTGAAATGTTTTAAGTCAAAAGTTAAATCTTTTTATTCAATTTATAATAGAAAGTACCCGCAAGTAATTTCATTATTTCTTAACGTACCCAAATATGATAACAAATGTCGAAAGAAATGTTGGAGATATTCTGAGTTATAGTTTGCATTCAGTGGAAGTTTAACTTGCTCAAGTAATGTTATAATTTGATACACGAGGTGTGATTTACATAGCCTAGTTTTAAAGTTCAAAATGTTTAAACTATGTACCGAAAAAAAGAACATGATTACTTTAACGTGCTATGACTTAAAAACACTAAGTAGTATTTTTGTGATCTAATGTGATGATAAGTGTTACAGTTTACTCCGAGCATTACGTAGTCGACAAACTTTGAATGGTTTAGTGGAACGCGTGGAGCTGTAGCGCTCGCTTTTGAGTATGCTGTCGGCTTATGACGCCGCGGACTTATTATTTGTCGCTGCTACTGATCACCATTAGATACATGAGGAAAGTAAATTTATCCTAAACATTGGCTCAGAAACTATTTTGTAAGAATGAGTGTTTACATTTTTAATTGGTTGCGAAAAGTGCCGGAAAACCGAAGTAACTGATGAAAGTGAAGTAGAGCCAATTAGTTCTGACATTGAAGAGAGTATTTAAGTTTACATGAGGATCGGACCATACCAGAGGTTGTCGTGTAGCCGCAGCTCAGTATTTGGTGCCCTAGAAAGGCGAATCATGTACCAAGAGTAGTGCTGCATTTCTTGAAATCAAGTTCCGACTGAGTATTTTTAATGTTTTCTTTTATGTGTTACAGTAGCACGTGTGATGTGATTACAAATGCTTGAGTGTGTGCCTTGCTGGTCGTAACGGACTGCCAGGTCCAGCTGTAACATGGCCTGGTTTCGGCAGATGCGTATGCGCGTATACGCAGGCGCCATCCCGGAGCGCGCGTATGCTGTACATGGCGATGCCTCGGAAGTCTTGTACTCTGTATGCGTGGGAGTCACACTGTGTGCGCGGAAGTCGTATGCTGTGTGCACGGTAATGTTTTCTGAACATGTATTAGGCTTTGTCCTGGCAGGCGCTGTCCTGGTTCACGTTTTTAATGTGGATCTCGCAAGTTCAAGTAAGAGTATGTGTCAGATACTTCATATGAAGACCTATGTTTACTTGTGAAAGCGAAGTGCTTTATTATAGTCCAAGGTATGAGAACGTATTTCTGTTTTAGGGCCTCGTATGTGTGATAGATGAGAGAACAGGCAACTGTGTATGTTGTCCTTATAGTTAACAATTTGTTTTTCACGCAGATCATGATGACTACAACCCCGACGATGCTTTTAAACCCTCAGGTGCTCCTGCTGCTCTCGTTTTGTTGTAATTTGATAGTTCACGCGAAACATGATTATCATTTGCTATATTTTGAAATTCAAAACTTTTAAGGGTTGTACTACAATAAAGGATTAACTTTAACACGCTATGAATTAAAAATAATAAGTGACATTTTTGTGTTCTAATGTGTTGATCACTGTTGCAGTTTGCTCCGAATATTGTGTCGTTGACAAGATTGGGGTTTGATTTCGAGGGATTCGTAGAAGTCTCTACAACAATGATCAATGAGGAAGACGTTGTGATGGCTAATCGAACATGGTCAGGTACGGCCGAGCGCTGGTTAGATTGAGCCTACACCGCTACAGTCGGTTACTTATCGGCTGATCTTACGGCAGGGCAATTCAAGCGGCCGCCGAACAAATGGTGCTTTGGCGCTGTAAATGGACGGCTTTCGTAGATTTTGCGCAGTTTCCTCCTTCGCTTCGAAATATGTTGTGGTATCTGTCTCTACACATAGCTTCCATTTTTTTTTGCAATGTTTTCAAATGTCGTGCAGTTGCCGTTTCTTAAGAGAATATGTGATGAATTTCGGAAGCTCGGAATTCCATGGTTCGCAATACATTTATCTCGATTTCTTTTAATTTTGCAAAGGAGTGCGACGACTCGCTAGCGCTAGTACGGCGCGACGGCTTGCTGCCGCGAATGTAGTACGATCGCAGCAGAACGAAAAGCTGTAGTGCGTTTGCCTGGAGGTAGCCATATCCGCGCGTTCCAGACTTAAATGAAGTCTGGGATGGTCGACCGTTGTAATATTTAACAAGAGTTTATATCTGTTAGCAAGTGGTGATAACTGATAGACCGTATGCTGTTCACTATCAACCGCACGAGGACGTGCGACAGTCAGAGGTAGCCGTGTCTGTGCATCTAGAAAATACTACAGACGTTGCAACACTCTAGCGAAGTAATTATTCCAGTGCAGGAAAGGAACATGAAGTTGCAGGGAGGCTGGTCTGTGCTGCACTGGGATATGTGTCGAGTTGCTGTTGGTTTACATACTTAGGTGTTATCGTGTGTCACTACGTCCCTCACGATACACTTTTGTGTGATTGTGACGGGGACATGTTTGCGGTATGGTTGGTCTGTAACTGTTCTATACTGAATTGAAAAAAAAAGAGAGTAAGAAAAAAAAATGTGGTTCTTACTATCATTGCAGGGCGTTTGCCGGTCCAATGATATAGCTAAAGGGAATAGTGATTCCGGACTAGCATAAATAGTACTCGAAAAAAAAAAGCGTAAGAAAAAAAATAGTTCTTAGTATCATTGCAGGGCTTTGTGCCGGTCCAATGATATGGCTATAGGGAATAGTTATTCCGGACTAGCGAAAACAGTACTTGAAAAAAAAAGAGAAAATAGAAAAAGCTACAGACTAATCATTCCGATCTAACATAAAGATGATTAAAGTTTTGTAGGGCTTACTGCCGGAACAAAACTGTCACCCAAATCTGAAGGGTCAATATAGACCGGACCAGACGCTGTTATGTCAGGATAGTCAAACGATGTTTTTTTGTCTACAGATAACTAAAATTGTGATGGAGCGCGTGCGAGGACGCACGCATGTCAGTATGGCCGTGACGGCACCTGCACCGTTGTAGGTGCGGTGGCATCGGTCTAGCTAGACAGAATTCTTGTAAACGACACGTGTACCGCACACCTGCGGCATTGCACCTGCGTTGCCACCCGTCCTGCTTGTATAAAACGGACGGAGCGGCCGCCGTTAAGAGAGTCTTGGCTCTGACGTGGAACGGTACGCTTGTCGTATTCCGTTACTAGTTTATCCTTAACTCGTTGGATAGTTAATTCGAGTAAACGAATTAATTATTATTCCTAACTACAAAATTAGTCTCCGTACTATACACAATTACCCTTTCTACATATATATATATATATATATATGCTTTTATTAAGTTTGTAAAAAAGACAAACACTTCTTACGTGAATCATCCATGTCATATTTTTCCGGACCGATACGAGTTAGGGACCTTCAAGAAAAGAGCTTCCATAGTCACTTACCATCAAGTGAGCCGCATGCTCATTTGCCTCCTCTTCTATAAAATATATATACTATTATATATATATATATATATATGCTATTATATATATATATATATATATATATATATATATATATATATATATATATATATTATAGAAGAGGGGGCAAATGAGCATGCGGCTCACCTGATGGTAAGTGACTATGGAAGCTCTTTTCTTGAAGGTCCCTAAGTCGTATCGGTCCGGAAAAATATGACATGGATGATTCACGTAAGAAGCGTTTGTCTTTTTTATCAACTTTATAAGAGCATACTTATTGGGAGCTTTTCTGATGTCACTGCGCAAGGGGCTCCAAATACGTATAGCCTTAACTGTAAAGGAGTTAACATAGAACTCGGTGAAATAATTTCTTAATAAAAAAAGATTTGAAAATAATGGAAAATATTAAGTACTTATATAATTTGAATCGATTTCCAAAAAACGAGAAAGTTATATAATCGACGCAATGTTGTGTACGTATGTTGACCGATTTTCCCTAAACGAATAAATCGATTTTAAAGACTTTTTTATGAATGCTATAGATTTTAAGAAAAAATTACACACCTTAAGGTGGAAATATAGGGGTGACGTTTTAAATGTAACTACATTATATCAATACATTATAATTGTTGCAGGTATACTTGTTTTATCCATATCAATTATATGCAAACATAGGAACTAAAGGAATATTAATGCTACAACTTTTAGCTTTTTGTTCATCATGTTGCAATCCAGTAATCTATTGCTTTATGAATAAAAAGTTCATGCAAGCATTTATTGGCTTACTAAAATCTTGTAAGTTATTAAGGTGAGAATTTTATGCATAACTCAATTCGATTTAAACGCATTTCGTCAAATTTTATTTGCAAATAACACGTTTGCGTCGTCATTTCACGTGGACTCAAAGATTTTTGTAGAGTATCTTAAATGTTAACTTGGAATATTATAATGTAAAACACAAATAAAGTCTCAAAAATTAGCCAACTTTTTTTTTTATAGAAGAGTGAGCGAACGAACATGCGGCTCACCTGATGGTAAGTGATTACAACACAACAACAACTGCGACACCAGGAAAATTAGAAATGCGTTGGCGGCCTTTTAGAAAGTAGTCAGCTCTTTTTAGGAATGTCCCTAAGTAGTATCGGTGCGAAAAAATCGCCGGTGGTAAAAATCGACGCTGGTAAACAATTGCACAGAGAGGTTGTACGAGGAAGAAAACTCCTAGCAAAACGAACAGCGGTGGACCGCCAAGCATCCAGATGGTGTGGATAGTATCGTGAGATTTGACGCGATCCGTGAAATTTGGCGGCTGAATTTAATTCGAACAATTCCTCAGAGTCTCCCCGTGGATAGTGAAAGGGAAGTTACATCCCTTTGCATAAAACATGCAACATCACTTTGCAGCGCCAGTGAATCGAGCCGATTAGAAAGAACTCGGTCGTCGACGATTTGAGCCGCTATGCGTTGGATGCGGATTTATATCAGATTAAAACACTTTTACATTATTTATGGTTGATGACGCACACCGATTTTCTGTGTATATGCGTTCGCATCATTGTCACCATTCTGTGTAAAATTCCTCATAGTCAGTCACAAGTTGTCATCTCATCAGCACAAAAGAATATGCTTGCACTAACTACGCTGAATAGGTGGTTTGGTGACTTCCATTTTATATAAAAATGAAGCGACAAACCAACTTACCTTACACCTGATGGTAAATGACTACTGCAGCCTATGGACACACAGAGGAGTTATCTATCACCTTTAGGACTAAAATAAAATCCTCACATCCTGTAATTACGCTTTCTCTCTATACTCTTCGTACTGGAACATATCAGCACGCAATGTTAATTAATCGCAGAAATATCTGAAAAGGTGATATCTACCTAGACGCGGCATTTTTTTCATATAATGAAATGCGTCATTAACAACTACCCGATGGCATATATAGATAAAAGAAAACAATATAGACAATATCATCTACAAATCTGAAACCTTGGGATAACTAACCTTAAGATATTTGCGGAAAAGTTTGACTTTGTAAGAAATATGTAAATTTAAATATTTCAATACTGTTTCTATTTGTGGCACAACATCAACTAAAATGTGATAATTATTACAGGCGCTGTTTACCTGATAAGCGCGAGCCTAGTAAGCAAGCAACGCCGCCACCATCAAACAAACATGTCACTACTTGTAAAGTAAAGGGAAGCCAAACTGGACGCACAGGTATTTAAATTCATTCATTTATTACAACTTATCAAAGCCCACTGCTCAACAGTTATATTGCTGAGCAAATATTTTCCATACTTGCTGTGCTTGGAAGGTGGGATGGCAACCAAATTTTTCTTATTTTAAATGATTAGATAAACACTACTGCCCATCTCCTGGTTTGTTTTTCTACAATATGAGGTATTGGGTTTTCTTACACCGCCACTAAATGACTCTTGCTACGGTAACATGTAATCTAACTAATGAATTCCAGCTTAAATATGGTGGTCGCGGATCGGCAGTCGTAGTTCCAGGCGTTCCGCACCTTACTCGCATGCATCGCATGTCTAATTTATTACACCTGATACTGCTTTGGGCGCAGAGTTTAATTACTTAATACCAATACAATTTGTCTATTCGTTAATAAAATTTGTAGTTTTTAACATTATTATGTTACCTGATAAAAATTATTAAAGACATCGAAATAATGGTCACAGTGCCAGTTGAAACAAAGAACACCTGACTGAGTGACTGATTTCGGCCTGACCCGGGTATTGAACCCTGGACTACATGTTGAGCAGTGCACTAAGTTCACTACACCAAAGAGGTAGTTAAGTATTAAAAGAACCATAGATAGGAAATATTATTAATTGCATTTCATTTGAGAATTACTTATGACAATTCGCTGAGGTAGATATTAAGGAAGAACTTAAAATTTAAACGGCATGAAGGATTTTAACGTACAATATTTAAATTGATTCTATTTTTAGAAAGCAATTTCCATTTGAGGTAACGTTTCATGCCGATGTTATTGTATAACTTGAAAATGAATGATTTAAGTACTACATAAAATAATACAGAAACAGGAACAGGAACTTTTTAGATTAGATTATAAATAATACTTATTGAAAGTCACTCTTTTGTTTAATTACCACTGGTTTGGAAAAACACTTCTGTCCTGGGAAACCCAGCCTTACTTTAATTTTAAATAAAAACTTACATTTTTTATATAAAAGAGGGTGCAAACGAGCATGCGGCTCACCTGATGGTAAGTGACTACCGCCGCCCATGAATAACCGCAACACCAGGGGAATTGCAGATGCTTTGCCAGCCTTTTAGAAAGGTATAAGCTCTTTTCTTGAAGTTCCCTAAGTCGTATCGGTTCAAAAAAAACGCCGGTGGTAAACAATTCCACAGAAAAGTTGTAAGAGGAAGAACATTTCTAGTAAAATACACAGTCGTGGACTGATAGGCATCCAGATTTTGAGGATGGTATCGTGAATTTTGCGCGATGTGCGTTCGTGAAATTTGGCGGCTGGAATTATTCTGAACAATTCCTCAGAGCACTCCCCGTGGTAAATTCCATAGAAAATGCAAAGGCATGCAAAATTCCTATGCAGTGCCAGTGTATCGAGCCAATCAGAAAGAACTCGGTCGTCGACGATTCGAACCGCTCTGCGCTGGATGCGGTCAAGTGAAAGGAGCTGGCACTGGGGTGCCCCAGCCCAGAGATGAGAATAGTATTCCATGTGAGGCCGAACTTGCACTTAGTAAAGTTGCAAGCGATGTGCCGGCATGAAATACTGTCTCGCTCTGCTGAGCACGCCAAGATTTTTACAGGCCAATTTGTCCTTCCCTGCTAAGTGACCAGCAAAATGTACACTATTAGATATGTCGACGCCAAAGATTACGATGGTAGCTGAGGCAGCAAGGGGAGTGCCTTAAAACTGAGGAGATACGACAAAGAGGTCCTTTTTAGCGGTAAACGCGCAAACTCGTGTCTTCTGGTGGTTGAACTGGACTAGATTTAGTTGGCCCCAATCCGGTACTTTGTTCAGCAAAGACTCGACTTCAGACACAAGTTTGTCCCGGTACTTAGCGACATTTTCCCGAGAAATATTGGCACGGCCGGTATATAATACATCACCAGCGCTATCGTCTGCATAGGAATGAATAATATCATTGATATGCAGGAGAAATAGCGTTAGTGTAGCACGCAGCCTTGTGAAACACCAGCGTTGATAGGCTTGAAATCAGAGCATGCACCGTTAACTACGACCTTAGTGCTCCGATCAACAGGAAAACTGGTGATTCATTTGCTCGATATCTCGGTAATGTAATAGAAAGGAGCTTCGAAGGAAGCACTTTGTGCCAGACTTGATCGAAGGCCTTGGCTATGTCCAAACTAACGGCCAATGCCTCCCCCTTGGACTCTACTTCCTACGCCCATCTATGAGTCAGGTAGACCAGAAGATCACCAGCTGATCGACTCCGACGAAAACCGTGCTGGCGGTCACTAATCAGCTGGTGATCCTAAAGGTACCTCATGATCTGGCAGTTTATAATGGATTCCATTATTTTGGAGAACAAGGAGGTGATGGCGATAGGTCTGTAGAGATAGGACTGGTCTAAGCGGTCGCCTTTTCTGCCAACTTCCAGAAAAGAGACGGTACTCAATTCGATTGTATGTTTTTTTTATGTGTGTTACCTCATAACTTTGTACTGGGTGAACCGATTTCGATGATTCTTTTTTCATATGAAAGCTTATAGTTCTCGTGTGGTCCCATATGTATTTGATCAAGGTCAGACCAATAGTTTTTGAGTTATTCTTAAATAACTTATATTGAAGTCGGCTGTACAAAATTTTTAATTTTAAATTATATAGGAATCGGGTGGACCGAAGCTGTCTTCCATGAATTCGGGACTACGTCTTGGGAGTAGGATTACCGAAAAATATGCGTTAAAACTGGTGCCAACTCCGGAGCACACGTCTTCAGCACAATGGGAGGGACTCCATTAGGCCCACTCGACTTGCTTACGTCTAGGGAGAAAAGTGCTTTGCCAACAAAGCGCTGTGTAAACCGCACATCCGCCATGGATCACTCACACCGCGGGATGGTCGGCGATGTGTTCCTCCCGTCATCTAGAGTCGAGTTGGACGCAAAGAGACAGCTTAACAGATCGGCTTTCTCCTTTGCGGCATGGGCCAGTGAGTCACCCTCTCTGTGCACAGCCTTGGTGAGAGACCAGTATGCACGGGTTCTCGAAGGAGTGCGAACTAGCTTCTTGCCAATTCAGCCGATGTGCTCAGACCTTGTCTTGGCAATGATGCTTTTCAAGGACCTGGAGGTGGAATCATACTTCCATTTAAGAGCGCTGGTGCTTACATCCCGAGACGTTGAAGCGTCAGCCCAGGTTCGGTTGCACTCCTGTTTATAGCATGATGCTATTTTACAGGAGCGACCAAACCATGGCTGCGATCTGTCTCCGATGGGTACCACAGAGGATGGAATAAAAGGTTCCATACCCTGAAGTACCACATCAGCAACAGAATCGGCAACAAAGCTGGGATCTTCGGGCGAAAAGCAAGCCCGTTCCTAAGGGTAGGATACAAAAAAAACCGCATCCCGTCCTAATCGGCCGACCTATAGTGCCAAACACGGCGGCAAGCTGCAGATCGCAACTGCGATGGGAGTGTGAGTGGCACCGTACTCCGGATCAGACAATGGTCCGAAAAGCCTAGAGGGGCATCGACGACCTGATATCCGTCCTGATGAGAGGTCAGCAGATGGTCCAACAGGGAAGGTACATGATCCTCTACATCTGGGATCCGCCGGATCCGTGGTCGATGAATCGGTCTGTGTCGGCATTACCGCTATGGGACCTAAAGAGGCACCCGTAGACGCGGGGACGGTCGTCGCTGTCTACGTGCAGCCATAGGATGGACAGGTCCGTACCTTCAAGACTGCCGAGGCGTCGAAAACAGTCCTCTCTGATGTACCTGAGTCTCGGTTAGAAAGAGGAAGTGCGGCTTTGCAGTCTCTAGATGGTAATATACGCGGGGCAGCCTGAGCACCAACGCTCAGGAGTGGAGTAGTTTGGTCGTGGATGCTCAGCGAGGGATTCTCCAGGGGTACTCTTCTGGGGTAGTCTTTTATTCAATTCCGCTGCCATCTTGATGGGGGGTGGGGGATTGGTCCTACGGCCACCTGCACTCACCAAGCGGAACGCAGAGATAATCCTACTTTACGCTGGTATTCTGTGAGGTCGTGGTACCACCCCGGCTCGAGCCGACCTATCCGTGCGACAGCACAAGCTGCCGCGTAGCTCTACCACTATTAAAACATGTACATGTATGTTACACAATTAACAACAGCATAAATTAGAAATAGCTTGGTTTCGATCACCTCATTCCCAGGGGTTATTTTTATCCATAAATTCCTTAACATTATTATAACTCTTTTTATACAATTTTAGTTAAATAAAGTTTTTGAACTTGGAGCACGTCAAATTTTGTATATTTTCTGGGACTTGTTATAAAAGCGTATACATCTTGTCTGTTCTTAGTTTTTACAGAATTAATATCACTTATTTTTGTTAAACTACTTGCATTTTTGTGTACGTAAATTAAATTTTTATAAATGTATTGATAGGTCAAATTCTTTTGTTATAGGAAAACTCTATTTCTGTAACAGAAATTTATTTATAAAATTTGACCAACAATACGCTTTCAGTCCATCTGATCCGCCTGCCAGGCTTTGCGTTCTTTTAAATTCATCAATTCATTTAAAAAGGTCTAAAGCAAATTGAGGCAAATCCCGCGCGGGACTCGGGATGCGAATCTACGCGATTTGCTCGCTCGCTTAACCTCCCAAACTAAGGCGAAACCTGCACGTCACTTATGTCCAGTTGTGAGCTTTTAAAGCTTCGTTCAAACTGAGGCGAATCCCGTGCGGGACGCGGGACCCGATTTGGTCGCGCCATAGCAAAATATACGCGGGATAGTGCCTGATTTTTCGAAATGCCGTTGAACCTTGAATTTCGTTAAAGTATTCTTCTGGCATACGAAACTAAAGTACTCAGCTCATGAACCCATTTTCTTCTTTTCTTCCTCACATTTTTAGATTTTTCATCGGTTAATTAAATTCGGTTAAAAAAAACCTCAGCTTCAATATCAAAATATATGTTGAGAAATCAAAAATAATGACGTGCGGGATTTGCCTCAGTTTGGGAGGCTAAGCGGGCGAGTGAATCAAACAGATTCGCGTCCCGCGTCCCGCGCGGGATTTGCCTCAGTTTGAACGAAGCTTAAACGTTGATAAAAGAAGAAATATCTCACAGCCTGCACAAGTTTTCACTTTCACTTCAAACTGGAACACAACAGTGTATGCACTGCGGTTTAGCAGCAGAAATAGGTAAAAGGATGATGCCTACCCAGGTTGTACAGGCAGAAAAAGAGCCTTATCACCTTACAAATTAAGAACTAAGTAATTAATTTGTTTTTTATGTGTAAAAAATATATTTGTACTCTTTAGTACTAAATATTTATTTTTAAATATTTCGTGTAATCGCACAATGTTTTAATAATTTTATTTACATGTTTAACCGGAAATTATATATTAATATCTTTAAAATAATTTGTTATTTTTTGGCTATACACACTAATACTATATTTTCATGTGTCAATACACATTAGCTCTACAATATCAATATATTGTAGAGCTAATTTGTCCGGAAGGGGAAAAGTGTGTTCAGCAGTGGTTCACGAAATATCGGGCAGAGCAGCGGCATTCACCCGGCACTGTTGGCCCCAGCCACCTCGCGTTAGGTACTACAAGTTGATTCTCATATTGTTTGTTAATTTAATTTAAAGGTAACTTTTAGTCATGCATTTCCCGTTAAGGTCACATAGAACCAATGAAAATTTAATTTTTAAGTGCTCATTTACCACGTACTCATTGAAGCAAAAAAACGTAAATAAACATGTTTGAAAAATTAAATGTTTTATACGCATGTGAATCCGTTAACATTCATTGGAATCGCGCAGATTATGTAACTCTCTTAGAAATATTAGAAATGAGAGCAAACTTGTGTCGAGGTAGTAGGCTGCCTATTGCAGTTCCTTTCTTTGGCACTCTGTCTCACCCTCATATAGGAAACATTGGAGCGTTGTAATTACCATCGGTGATTTCGTGACGTTTTGATTTTTCTCAGTTAAGTCCCCATCCAAAACGATTGTTAAAATCTTCGCTTCAAATGAAGAAATCCATGTTTATACATTGTTTTGTTTATAATCATAGTTAAATATTTTATATGGTAACAATAATTTACCATGGAGAGTAAAGGTGAACGCACATTTATTAGCAGCGAAGGCGCAGCACGCGTCGTCCGCGAAGCATTTACTGATGGCTTTTGGCTATATTACACATACACGCCGTACGCGCCATACGCACATCTTTAGTATTTCCAACAATTTTTGCAGTTTTTTCTAACTACTGGTGTGAAACGGTATAGTGAGAATGATTAAGCTATGGATAAAAATTCTGTAATAGCCTGCTTATTGGCTGAGGAAGAAGAAAATAAAATTCGAAGAATAAAAAAGAGTGAATTCACAACAATATTCATTTAAAAAGGCATTTGCATGTCTTGTCTGACGAATCATTGGTATTCACAGTAAAAGTAAATACTCTGGAAATGAAGTAAAAATATGTGTCGAAACGTGTAATGGTGAACGCCTAAATGGTGAAGTAATCATCTTGCCACTAATTGAAACTTTATTCTACTGAACCACTAGAAAAACACCAGCCTCAAAACCAATATTTCTCCAGCAACATTTGGTAACACTGAGTATCAGAACCCGCCAAAGCCGCCGCATTATAAGACGTCATCGGCATGTCTCCTTCAATATTCGGATACCTACCGTATTTTATAAAATACTGCGCGTACGGTGCGGGCAAAAATTGCGAGGTTTCATGTGATTTCATAAAACGAATTCTAAAATGCGGCCCGTACGGCGCGTGCTGCGTGTACGTTGCTGATAAATGTGCGTTCACCTTAAAACGCGATTTTTAACCAAAAATGACTTTTCACAGCTAACAGAAACATGCAAAATCGGCAAAGAATTCATGAAACGCATTCATGGCCCCGAAGCGGGCAAAAAAAGCAACGTGAAGGAAGAGCCACTATATAAATAACACATACATTGAATCAGGTTAGACAATATTACATATTATATTTATATACTTTAGATTGCAATATTATATATATATATATATATATATATATATATATATCGCTGGCGATGCGTCCGATCATGATCGAAATAATGTGGCACTCTGTATATTCTGTATATGGTTTAATTGTTTTATTAACTGAATGCGTTGACCTTGAGACCGTCCCTATCCCGTATTTTCGTAGTGCAACTTGATGAGATGTCCAGAGTAAGATTCCTTGCAAAAAACAAATTACAGAAGAGTGGGCAAACGGAACATATGCGGCGCACCTGATGGTAAGTTTCGACTGCCGCTCGTGAACATCTGCAAAACTTAAGGAATCGCAGGTGAGATACCGGATATTTAATAAAAAAGTAGGTAGGCTTGAAAGTTCCGAAGTCATATCGAAAAATCGCTGGTGGTACTCGATTCTACAAGGAAGTTGTGCGAGGAAGAAAAAAAATTGTACTTGTAAATCGCACAGTGTGGACTGCAAAATATCCAGAGAGTATGGACCATCCATCGAGTTTTACGCGATGTATGACGGTGAATTGAGCGGCTGCAACATTTCCAAACAATTCCTCATAACACTCTCAGTGGTAGATGCGAAAAAATAGGCAAAGAGATGCGATATCTCTTTGCAGTGCCAGTGATTCAAGGCGATCAGAAAGAGCTCGGTCACCGAAAATTCGCAGCACTCTACGCTGGATACGAAGGAACTGGCACTGGAGAGCTCCGGCCAAGTGATAGGAGCAGTATTCCATGTGAGGCGGAACCTGCGCCTTGTAAAGTTGTAGGCAGTGTGCCAGCATGAAATGCTCTCACTTTTTGCTGAGCACGCCAACCTTTTTGAAAAGAAGAAGAGGGGCGATATTGGCCTTCTCTTCCCTGCACGTTATTCGATATGTCAACGCCGAAGATTCCGAAATTGGCTGAAGCAACAATGTTAGTTTCCTGAAACTAAGGAGATACGTCAAAGGGATTCTTTTTCTAGCGGTAAACGCCTTCTTGTGCCTTCTGGGGATTGAAAATTCAAGACTTTGTTCAACAAAGTCTCAACTTCATACACTAGTTTTTTCCACTACTTGACGAAGTTTTCCTGAGAAATATTGGTACGGCTGGTGTTGTCGTATACGTAACAATTAATGTTATCGGTTTGCAACATATCATTGATGTGCAGAAGTAACGGCGTTGATGTTGATGCAGCCTTGTGGAACACCAGCTTTAATACGCTTGTAATCGGAGCATGCACCGTCAACTACGACCTTGATGCTCCGATCTGCAAGAAAGCTGGTGATCCACAAACGATCAATGCCTCCCCCTTGGACACTACTACCTTTGCCCATCTATGAGGCAGGTAGACCAGAATATCACCAGCTGAAACCTCAAGGTACGTCATGAGCTGGCAGTTTATAACGGGTTACGTTATTTTGGAGAACAAGGAAATGATGGCGATAGGACTGTAGTTTGAGGGGTCTGAGCGGTCGCCTTTTTAAGGGATCAGGTTTTTTTTATAGGACAGGGTGACCAAACGAGCACACAGTCCACCTGGTGGTAAGTGGTTGCTGTGATCCATAGTCATCTCCATTTATCCTCAATAATGAATGAAAATACAGATGCGTCGTCACCCCTGAGGACTAAGATGGAATGCCTCTTTTCCAGTAAAATGAGTCTCCGCTTCTGTACACTCACCATACGAAACACAGCAGTGTCAAGCTGCCATTTTACGATCGTATTCTGTGAGAGCATGGCTTTACCACGTAAATGCAGCATGGCTCTACCACGGACCCAATCTACTTCCATGAATTCAGGACTACGTCTAAGGAATAGGAGTAACGAAAAAAACGCATTAAAACCAGTTCCAACTCCGGAGCACACGTCTTCAGCACAATAGGAGTAACTCCATCAGGCCCACTCGCCTTGTTAAGGTTCAGGGAGAGGAGTGCCTTGCGCACCGAGCGCAGTGTAAACAGCATATCCTGCATGGAGCACTCACACCGCGGAATGGTCGGCGTCGTGTTCCCCCGTCTTCGAGAGTCGAGTTGGACGCAAAGAGAGAGATTAGCAGATTGGCTTCCTCCTTTGCGGCATAGGCCAGTGAGTCGTAGCCCTGTGCAGAGAAGGTAGAGATGGCTAACAGAAGTTCCCTTGGACAACCTTAGCGAGGGATGCACGTGTTCTCGAAGAAAGTCTAGAAGGAAGTCTGGAAGCAAACAATGAGAAACAAATATCACGTCCATCACGATAATTCAAGCTATATGATATGCAGCAAATATAGGTCATTCATTGTTATATTTTAATTAGAATAAGGTAGACTATGACTATTTAAACGTGTAATGAACATTTATACCGTCCGTCTTTTAAAATAGCAAATGCCAAATTAATGAGTTATTTATTTTTGTATTTCTCGCGCAATCTTGTACCTAATGAAGAAATTTCGTTGAAAAAATATTTCTAAAAATATAAAATGTAGTTTGATAACTTCAAATTGGTACTTTGCTATCATAAAATATGCATAGTTTACATATAAACACGAGTAGACACATTCTATCGTTGGTAAAGAAATTGAGAGCGAGGGGAGTGCTCTTCAAACTAAGTAATAGTTACAGCTCACCTTTCATATTTCCCAAAATACAGTTAATTTTGGGCTGAATCAATTTTGTCATACACCCCCTCTACAGAACACCAAGAATAAAAATTCTTGTTATTTTTACCCAGAGAAGAAATGGAAGAGGTTCACAATTCGACTGTATGTTCTTTTTGTGTGTATTTTACGCGATATATTCGTCAATTGTGAACTAATTTTAATTATTTTTTATTTAATATTATAATGAAATAATAATAAATGTAAAATTATTCATATACTTGTATGTGCTACAAGAGTGTTGCCATAAAGATTTTAAAAAATTCCACCCTGGAACAAAAGGGTAAGAAGTTTTAAATATTTACTTCGACATTCTAGTAGTCGCGTTTCAATTCAATACTTTCAAATGTTTAGATGAATTACATTTTCGTTCATATCAATTTACAATATTACACTTGTTATTTTCTATAACTCTTAATAGTTTATAACATTTTTAAATTTTAGAACACTACAATTAGGCACTCAACAGGTTTTTACTGCAACTCTTTGACGGTGCGTACAATCAAATTGTGGACTTCTCTTCCTACTTATCTGGCATGCCAAGTCTCTGCCAATTTTCAAAGCCTTAGTTACTGAGCAATATCTGTTATTAATATTTATGTTTATCTTAATTTTTTTTTTGTTTATGATATATAGGTCGAACCAGACGGTTTGCTACATCGTTCGTCACGCGTACAGAAAACGAGTGAAATAAGTTGCCAGCATCTGTCTTTCCATCCGATTACAATGTGGGTGTCTTCAAGACAAGAGTGAATAGGCTTTTGTTAAGTAAGTGCGCTTCACCATCTTAGGCTACATCACCACTTACCATCAGGTGGGATCGTAGTTAAGCGCTGGTTTAGAATAGTAAATATATAATAGTTGTATTGTGTATAATATGATCTACTAAAATATTATAAGGTGTATTTTATTTAGAATTTTTATATTAAAATATGTAAATAAATGTGTATATATAACTCGTATTTATGTAGTTTATTGTTTTATTT